ATGACCGACTAAAGGAAATTAAATAAAGTAATTCTAAAGAACAAGTATCTTCTCCCTCGCATAGATGATTTGCTTGATCAGTTAAGGGGTGCTTGTGCCTTCTCAAAAATTGATTTGAGGTCAGATTACCACCAGATTCGATTTAAGTCAGATGATATCCCGAAGACTACATTCAGGCCTAGATACGGACATTATGAGTACCGGGTAATTCCTTTTGGTCTCACTAATGCTCTGGCAGTGTTTTTAGATTATATAAACCGTTTGTTCAAGCCATATCTGGATTAGCTTGTGGTTGTATTTATAGGTGATATTTTGATCTATTCTAAGAATAACAAGAAGCATGCGGACCATCTCATAATTGGTCTGCAAGTGTTGAAGGATAATCAATTATATGCTAAATTTTCTAAAAGTGAATTCTGGTTGTCAGATGTTCAGGGCCATGTCATATCTGCTGATGGAGTGGCAGTGGGCCCTAGTAAAATAGAAGCCGTAATGGATTGGGAAAGGCCGAAGACGATATCTGAGGTTCGTAGTTTTATGCGATTAGCCGGTTATTACCAGAGATTTATTGAGGGTATTTCTACAATGGTTTTACCATTGACCCACTTGACTAGAAATGAGATACTATTCGTGTGGACTCAGGAGTGCGAAGATTGTTTTCTTGTACTAAAAGAAAAGTTGACGACTTCTCCAATATTAACCCTTCCTGATCCTGAGCGTACTTTTGAGATCTATTGTGATGCATCGGGGAAAGGTTTGGGATATGTCCTAATACAAGATATGAGAGTTGTTGCGTATGCTTCTAGGCAGTTGAAACTACATGAGGAGAATTACCCTATGCATGATCTAGAGCTAGCAGCCATAGTGTTTGCCTTGAAAATATGGCGACACTTTCTATATGGTGTTAGTTTCTTAGTGTATAGCGATCACAAAAGTCTGAAGTATCTATTTGATCAAAAAGAGTTGAACATGAGGCAAAAGAGATGGATGAAGTTCATGAAGGACTATGAATTTGAACTAAAATAAATTTCGGGTAAAGCTAATGTTGTAGTTGATGCCCTGAGCTGGAAATCTGTTGTGATTGCAAATCTAGTGATTAAAGAATATCAGTTGATTGAAAACTTAAGAAATCTAAATATGGTGGTCAGTAAAGGCGATGTTATCTTGGAAGTTGAGAAAGTTGTCATTCAGAATGCATTGTTGGAGAGAATCTTAGAGGCTCAACAATTTGATAAGGACATTGTGGCTATGACAGGTTAGAAAGATGTGTCTGTTGATAGTCAGAGCTTTAAATGATATTAAGAAAGGATAATTGTGCCTAAGGGTCAGTCAGTGGATGATGCGTTGAATGAAGCACATAAAGGTCAATATTCTATTCATCCAGGAGCTACTAATATGTATCATGACTTAAAAGAAAATTTCTGATGGTCGGGTATGCAAAATGACATTGCAAAGTTTGTTGAGAATTGTCTAATCTGTCAGAAAGTTAAGATTGAGCACCAGAGACTTGGTGGTTGGAGTAGGGTAAAGCATGGGATAAGTACCTTCCATTGGTGAAGTTCTCGTATAATAATAGTTTTCATTCCATTTTGGGCATGACACTTATGAGGCTTTGTATGGTCGGCGGTGTAGATCACCTACTTGTTGGACTGAGGTTGGAGAGAGGCAAATGATTGAGCCATACTTGGTACGTGACACTTCTAATCATATCAGAATGACCAAAGATAAATTGAAACAGGCACAAAGTCGCCAGAAGATCTATTATGATTACAAGAATTGACCTCTAGAGTTTGTAGAGGGTGAGCATGTCTTTGTGAGGTTGTCACCTGTGACAGGTGTGGGGCGTGCTCTTGGAGTAAAGAAGTTGAGTCTCAAGTTTATCGATTCCTATCAGATAATCAAAAGGGTGACACCAGTTGCTTATCAGCTTGCCTAGCCCCCACAGTTATCTGGTATCCATGACGTATTCCATGTGTCTCAGCTGCGAATATATATTCGGGATGAATCCCATGTTGTGCAGCCTGATGAAGATCAAATAAAGGAAAATCTAAAAACTCCTGTGAGGCCGTGAAAAATTCTTGACAGAGATGAAAGGAAAATGAGAAATAAGATAATCCCTATGATAAATATTCAATGGGAAGGTAGAACGTCTGAGGAGGTTACTTGGGAGCGTGAGGATGAGATCCTCCGGCTATATCGTGAGTTTGTTTCCATGATCCTATTTTGAGGACAAAATCCAAAAATGGTGGGGAGAGTATAATGACCCTAGCCTATAAGTAAAGAATTAAAGTCACATTTGATGAAAAATGAGTTAAAAATTACAGTGAAAGGATAAAAATATAGGTAGGCAAAATTACCCAAAAGGTAAAAGTAAAAATAAAAATATGACTAGAAAAATATTCTAGTCCATTGGGTAAAGTTTGGTAATGAATAGTGGTGACTAGATAGATAAGCATTTACCCAGTTGAACTTCACTTAACCTATGTAGGTGAAAAGTGTCAAAACCTTCTTATTTCTTCTTTGTCTTCGAGCGACATCGACAGGGAGGAAAAAAAAGGATTTTTAGTTAAATCTTCCAAAATTCATAGAGAGAGCTAGAGACCACTAAATCACTTCGTTCCAAAGCCAAACTTGTGATAAATTTCGAGAGGAACACATTGGTACCCATATTTTCGTGTGGGGTTCACTATAGAGAGAGTTCCTCTTCCCCTAAGATTTTGGGTTCATGGGAAATATGGGTTTTGATGGAGCTTGAAGTAAGCTTTCCCCTTCATTCTTGGGTACATTGGGGTAATGAATCACCTCTCTCTTCTTGATTCCATGAAATTTTAAGAATTCTAGGTTTTGTGATGAATAGTGCATGAAAATGTGAGGATTTTATGAATTGTGATGGTTGTTTGGGGTATATTCATGTTGTAGAGTTGATCCCAATGTTGTTTTGAGCAATTTCCACAAATTTAAATCCACATTCGCTTGAGTTGGAGATTTATGGATTTTTCACATTGAGGTAAGTCATGGTATGGATAGTTAGAGAGTGATTTGGATATTGCTTCCTTTGTTAAATATGCCTAAGGGTTAATTACCTGTTTGTTCCACCAAACTCCGAGGGAGGGTGGTAGTTTGATATGGTATATTGAAAATGATTTGTCATATGTTGCATGTATATGTATATATGTTTGTGTGCCACATAAGACGGTGTTTTCTTGTGCGAGACATAAGATGGTGTTTCCTTTTGCATAGTATGAGACGGTGTTTCCTCATACGGTATATTGCAAGACAATGTTTATTTCCGTAATGCATACTTGTTATATTCTCTGGCCAGTAGGATTTATTATTTGCACACTGCATTGATATACATATTCTTATGCATGCATGGATTTTATACTGTGGTTATACCAAAAGTGAGCTTAGGGATGGAGGAGCCCTTCAAGAGTCCCTAGCTTACTGAGGTAATTATATTATCTCTCCCAACGTTACTGGAAATTCCATTTCAGGTACAAGAGCTAATACTGGTGAGGCATCGCGTAGCAAGAGGCTAAATGAGAGATACTATCTAACATGATAGTATGATTTGATTGATATGCTGATATGTATTTCACATAGTTTTATTTTGGATATGTATCTATATTCCATGTCATTATTTTGAGAGCATAGGGGATGTCTATGCCTTGTTGCTAGTCTATATATGTTGTAGTGATGCATGCTCAGGTCTATGTTACTTATTTAATTGCATCTTTTTTATTTATTTGATGTAATTATTTAAGTAACATTATGGACATTATATAGAGATCATATTACTATGAGATAGCCTAGACCGTGGATGGCTAGGCAAGATGTTTATTCATTTTGTGGCATGCTTAGTATATTGATAAATTGTTAATCACGTGAAAATTTCTAGGATTGGAATTAATCCCAATTGTAGATATGGTTGCAATACGTACGGAAAAAGGAAAAAGTTAACCACAAGATTTCGTATTTAATAAGTTAAAATTTGTTGCGCTTAATATCATATAAATATTAATTAACCTGCTGCAAATGAGACGTTACATTTTATTTTATGTTATCATTTTATCTATAATCATAGTAAAAAATAAAGGAGCAATTATCTAGTAATAATTGGGAACTTGTAGATTTATGCCAGATTAAGTACAATAGCAATTGTTGGGTTTAACAATTGAGATGCAATTTCCTTGAGTAAATTTATGTGCCTAAATCTAGAAGTAGTTTTGATGAATTCTTGTATTAGGATTGTATAGATTCTATTCGTATAATTTGAATTGAGCTTGACTAATTATAATGAATTTATTTTCCGATTGAATAGAGAATATCGACTTGAATTGGGTTTTTTTATTTTCCTTTGAGTTTTTCGCACATAATTACTTGAATTATCTTTTTGCAATATTTTTAATTACTCAAAATTATTATATTTAAATTTGCATTATTTAATTAAAAAAATTTATATGATTCAATTCAGCCCCTTTTAAATCCACATCTGGATGATGCGTTTCAATTTTTTTTATTCCTACATCAAATAAATGTTCATTATTCGTGGACGGGTACATTACAACTTTTAGTTTAGTCATTGTATTCTATTATTTCTTTAATGATTTTACAGAGAACTCCCCTTGGCACGGATATACATACAATTTTACATTTAACATGTGTTCTTAATTTGTGTCTTACTTGATTCATGTTTATAAACTGTTCGTTGAATGCAGCTCCATGGTAATATCCACGATTTGACTAAAGATCCAAAATCCAAGCCATCAAATACTGACTGAGTCTTGGACCTTAATTGTTCCGCTGATGTTTTGCTCCTCAATCAAATTTCCATGCTTTACACATGCATCCTCCATATTCTTCGCTAAGTGCCGGAACACTATATATAACATATACCCGAAAAATTTACCCGTCAACAACATTTTTTATAGCACCAACAACTATTTTTCTTTTGCACAAAAAAACATACTGTTAAAGAGTGAGCAATTAATGCAATGAAGATGTTACAGAATATGTCACTACTACTCGTCTTCTGTACTCTCTATTGTTTGCCATTCATGTTACAAGGATCAAATCAACATGAAAGAAAGGTATAACAAATTGGGAAGTAATTTGGGTTGTCCAACTTGTCTTATGGGCTTATTTTGAATATCTGGTTACTATTCTCAGTGAAGATACTTTTTGCTATAAGACTAACTAAAGCTTCTCCTCCTTCTTTTTCCTTTATTTTTCATATTTGGAGAGTATATGTATATATTTATGCAATGGTGATCGATGAACAACTTAATTGATATGAACTTTAATTTGGTGATTCTAAAACAGCCTTACATTGTATACATGGGAGAATTGCCATTGGCTAGAACCTATGCCCCGGAAGACCACCACCTCAACTTGCTAGAAGCTACAATTGGAGAGTAATAATCTCAATTCTCAAAGTAGAAATGCATTTGATTATAATGGAGTGATCCTTTCATTTCTTTTTTAACATGACTATATCACGTGAAAAATCTCTGTTATTCATTAACATAGGAATGGCTATAAAATTATTGACAAAGCTTGTACAACATATATAAAGGAGAAAATGATTAATTTAATTGCTCATCGTTATGACCGAGATTTTTCACATGACCTAATCATGTTAAAAAGAAATTGTAGGACTTTGTTTGGTTTATTACAATTAATCAACATTTCTTAATGATCAATGGCTAGCTCTTTTTTATTTTTTACTTTTAAGTGTTTCTCTACAGCCACCAGTTAGCCAGAGAATCCAAAATACATAGCTACGGAAAGAGCTTCAATGGATTTGTTGCAAGACTTTTGCCATATGAAGCAAAGAAACTGCTACGTACGTAAATAGTAGTAGTGCTATGTTTTACTACAAAAATTAGGGATATTTAAATTCAAATTATTTCAAGATACAACTTTTCTTTGATACTCAGTTATGCATATATTCTGCATTGGTATATAATTCTATGCAGAGGAGGAGAATGTGGTATCTGTGTTTCCAAATACACACAGCAGAATACACACAACAAGGTCATGGGATTTTCTGGGAATGCCCCTAAAAGTGACCAGACGACACTCCAAAATAGAGAGCAATATCATTGTTGGTCTGTTAGACACAGGTACAAATTAAAGAAAATATTTCTCAAATATTAAGTATACTTGGACAATAAATTAAATTTTCATGTATTGATGTTTATATGTATATGCTATTTAACTTCTAAACAGGAATTTCGCTTGATTGCCCCAGTTTCAACGATACGGGGTATGGGCCTCCTCCAAGCACATGGAAGGGCAAATGTATAACAGGAGCCAATTTCACAGGATGTAACAAGTATTCTTCTGTCCAATCCACTATATATATATATATATATATATATATACACATATATATATATTCTGATTTTTGTCATACTTTTTTATGAATAGCAACGTAAATATGAATTACATGAAATTTTGTTTCATGTATTATATTACATGGATAAGATATTATACCTACTTTTTTATATATTTATTTCTAATATTTTTAGATTAAAATCTCAACCAAGGGTGAAAACAGACAAAAAATCTGAAAGTCATTTAAGACTGTAATCTAACGATGTTCGAAAAAAAATAGATAAAATAAGTATGAAAAAATAAAAACATAATAACTTATCTATATATTACAAGATAAATATTCTTACTTTTGTTTCAAAAACTGTTGCATATTTTTTTATTAAATAAAATAAGAGAGTATCAATAGAGGTATAATATTTTTAGTGTTTCAATAAATAATAATTTAAGTATGATTATATTTTTAATAATTGAGACTAATTAATCTTTTTTAAGCAAAGACAAAAATCTCACCCGAAAACCTTAAACTAAATATATTTTGAAATGTAAAGAATATAATAATAATTTAGTTGGTTTCCATATAAATAAGAAAAATGTTTCAAATCTTTAAATATCACGTCTCCTCGAATACAAATCAGGGTGTATGCATGCAATAAAGAAATGAAATTAGTGTAATCAAATTATAAAAATTGTATAAATATGGGGTGATATGTTTTTTAAGTGTGTATTTAACATAGTTATCTGAATAAGGTCACATAAACCATTCATGATATAACGTCAACAAATAAATATATACAGTGGCTTTTTTAAACATCACTTTAATTAATTTATATCTTAAGCCAAGATTTCTGCAATTCTAAATACACAGAACTATAAATGTGTGAATCTTGCACCGCACTAGTCACTAAAATCAATCTTCATACCAAAATTTCAATGCACAAAAGTTATATAAATAAGTAATGACATATATATTTTGTGCATGAAACCTTATGCAAAGTTTGCTTGCATGATCACATGCAGCAAGGTGATAGGGGCAAAATACTTCAACCTAGAACAGACCGCTTCCACGTCGGAGGACAACAATCTTAGTCCGGCAGACGAGGAGGGACACGGCACTCACACAGCGTCTACAGCAGCCGGCGTGGCGGTGAAGGGTGCGAACCTTTACGGCATTGGCCGAGGCACGGCACGTGGTGGTGTGCCATCAGCACGCATAGCTGTGTACAAAGTGTGTTGGGGGAGTAGTGGGTGCAGTGACATGGACATGCTAGCTGCTTTTGATGAGGCCATAGCTGATGGTGTTAACTTAATATCAGTGTCTATTGGAGGGACACCTAGGCCGTTTTTTAGTGATCCTATGGCTATTGGATCATTTCATGCTATGAAGAGAGGGATTCTAACCTCTTGCTCCGCTGGTAATGATGGTCCTTCCACTATGACCGTTGAAAATGTGGCTCCATGGATTTTGACGGTGGCCGCTTCCGCCATTGATAGGCAGTTCACGACGGTGGTATCCCTCGGTGATGGCAAGAAAGTTGCAGTGAGTAGTGATCACTTCCTCATCTCTTTGAGTCTATTCTACTTGAGAAAATTATAAATATAATATAAAACTAGGGAAAAAAAAGTATCTAATGTTACTTTAGATAATTTTGTCTAATGTTTACCGAAACGACGTTGTTTTGATGTTGAAAAATTAAAAAATTAGAATGATAAAGACTATTATAACTCTGAAATATATTAAAATTACAAATACACCATGATTTTCGTCCCAAAACGACGTCGTTTCGGCGAACATTAGATAAAGTTGTCTAAAGTAACTTTAGAAAAAATGAACCCATAAAACTATTAATGTGTCTTCATCTAACAATTTAAATTTTTTGGTTGAATTGAATTTTTATATGGTTTTAAAGTCTCTGTGACCAAAGATTAGGAGGAACTGCGTATTGTTCATCCTTTAAATCTAATGAATTTTTATGTGAAGAAGTTTGTTAGAAAAATATAATATAAAATTATTAATGTGGCTTCAGCTAATAACTTAAGTTTCTGAGTTGAATTGGTTATTTATATTCTCTTTGAACTAGAGTTCATAAAAGCACTTACTCATAATAGTTGGAGTTTTAACAAATTATCAAATTAAAATAGTTTAATTGTTAGCTTTTGTTTTATAATTCTTTAATGAAAGTTCTGAGTAATAAGTCTTACATTGGTTAAAAATAAGGGATTTATAAAAATAATGTTACAGGAAAATCACTACATCATGTCACACAAACACCAAAAGTGGGTCCCGCCATTGATTTTTTTTTAAAATAAAAATAAATAAACATCACACTTATCGATGGGTCTGCGGGAAGATATCCGATTTTGCAGTGACATGACGGATTGAAAGCCCTAAAAATAATCTAAGTGATGAAAAAAGATTTATAGACTTACTGTCACAAGGTTTTGGAGTAACATATAGAGTTAAATATATTATTATTATCTCAAAAATGATATTAAATTAAGATGTGATGTTGAATGCATTCTTATCTCTCAAAAAATGAGATTGATAAGCATCACATGCGAAAAATGTGACTTGTATACATTTGATAATATCATACCATACCAGGGTATCAAATATGAGTTTATGCAATATGAATGGTTGAGATTTCTCATACATGCGAAATCGAATGTATTCCCAGATATCAAATATGAATACCTAGCTAAGCTATTTAAGATATGAGGAATATAAAATACCCAGATGAGAATATGCGTGTACAAACACCTCCTTATAATATTACTAATAGCTTATTTTGTTGTATAATTGATTGGCAGGGAATGTCAATTAATACCTTTTCCCCTAAGAAAAATATGTACCCGTTGATTACTGGAGCCCTTGCTTCCAACGTTACCGGAGACAGCTATGGCAATGCCAGGTATTTTTATTCATTTTGAACCCTGACATGGTCATAAGAATTGTCTATCACTCAAAAAGAATTATGAACAGTTTGAGACTAAAACTATGATGCAGTGCTTGTGATTATGGGACTCTAAGCAAGGACAAGGTAATGGGTAGGATTGTATACTGCCTTGGCACGGGAAGCCAGGACTACGTCATCAATGAATTAGGTGGAGCAGGAACCATTATGAGTGTTGTAGAGCAATCAGACTATTCCACAACCACAATTATTCCAGGTGTCTTTGTTGATGCCACCACTGAAGGCAAAACCATTGACCTCTACATCAATTCCACCAAGTAAGTTTAATATAAGTTTTTGGGTTGGATTGGTTCTTTACATGGTATCAGAATCCGCGTGACTAAGTAGACATGAATTCAATCCCCGTTGCCCTCATTATATTAATAAAAATAATTAAATATTGTGAAATTTTTTAGTACAAGTAAACTGAGTCTGATACATCATTCATTTTTTAAGCTCAACGAACTTTCATGTGAGGGCTATGTTAAAGAAATATAAAGTTGAATTATTTCTTTATAAATTCGTATTTTACAACATGCCAAATTGGTAACATTTGTAACATTTTCAAATGAATTTAACTTCAGGAATGCACAAGCTATAATACACAAGACCATAAGTACAAGAAGCCCTGGTTCGTATATTGCTTCTTTCTCATCAAGAGGTCCTCAATTCATCACCTTCAACATCCTAAAGGTGATGATGATCATCCATCTATCTCTTGCTTCATTTTGTTTTTTCTTTGGCTTGTGATATCTAAATTTATGGATTCTATGTGCAGCCTGACTTGGCTGCTCCAGGACTGGATATTCTAGCTGGTTATTCCACATTGGCATCAATAACAGGTTACTCTGAAGACAACCGTCACAACTTTTTTAATATAATATCAGGAACTTCTATGGCATGTCCACATGCTGCTGGTGCTGCTGCCTATGTCAAATCCTTCCACCCTCACTGGAGTCCTGCTGCTATCAAATCTGCTCTCATGACCACTGGTGAGAAACCCTTATTGAAAATTCATCATCTAAAGTCAAGTATTGATTATTGTTGGGATATTCAAGTACGATGGAGTCCTCCATTGGTTGTAATAATCTAAGTAACGACCATATAACTGAAAAAAACATGATCCTAATGTTTTAAGATTTTTTGGATGAGATGTACTATCAGACCCATTTAATTGGACTAGTTTAGTCAATTGGTGGTAATCTCATGTCATGAACTCCCTGTTAATTAGGTGTTAAGGACGGGTTAACCTTTTCTAATAATTAGAATCATATGGATCATTGCATCACAGTAATTTGCTTAAAAGGCTTAGTTCGAGATATGCTATCTATAATAGAACTTGATGCGGGCAGTAGATGAATTTTTTTTTTTTTTCTATATTATGGTTAGATCTCCATTAGAGGAATTTTATATGTTTAGCTACATTTTCATTATATAAACAAATAATAATATTACAATTATATGATTAAGTAATGAGATTCTTGGTGAACAAGATGATTATCAGTTTCTAATCTATTATGATCTCTATGATTCAGCCACTCCCATGAGAATCAAAGATGAAACGGCAGAGCTGGGATCTGGGTCAGGACAGATCAACCCAGTAAGAGCATTGGATCCTGGCTTAATTTATGACATTAATATGAACTCCTATATTGCCTTCTTATGCAAGGAAGGTTACAATAGCACCAGCATTGGTATACTAATTGGAAGCAAAGGCTTTGATTGCTCCAGCATTAGCTCTGCACAAGGCACTGATGGAATCAATTACCCTTCTATGCATACTCAGATCATGCAAGCAAATTCTAGCATTTCTGCAATCTTTTATCGGAATGTGACCAATGTAGGATTTGCAAACTCAACTTACAAGGCTAAAGTCACAGCACCAAAGGGTCTTTCCATTGTGGTTGTCCCAGACACATTGCAGTTTAGTAGGTTGAACCAAGAGCTCTCGTTCAAGGTTGCTCTGAAGGGGCCTTCAATGCCGAAAGAGACAAAGATATTATCAGGATCACTTGAATGGAATGACTCTAAACACAGTGTTAGAAGCCCCATAGTTGTCTATAAACCTATGAGGTGAATTGAAGCCTGTAGTGGACACATTATGTAGCTTAGGAATTAAGTTGAGGAGTTTCAATATTTCATTTTTATTTTATACACATTGAAGTTGGTTAATGGTGATTTCCCTTGGTTTAGTGAAAAAAGATATTTAGCTGCAAGGTTTATCCATTCATTCAACGTTAATGATCAACATTAACTTGTGCATTACCTTGACTTAGTAATTTTTCTCCCATTTGTTTTTTATTTTTAACCAATGACTCTACCCCCGTAATCAAGTTGAAGGATCATATATCAAGCACTGTCTCAAGCCTTAAAACACTTTTATGAATGATCTTAATAACTTAATTATCTTTTGAAAACTAAACAATGATCATAAAAATAAATAACCCAGCAAGAACTTAATTTCCATAAATAATTGTATAGTAAACATGATTCGGATATTCAGGCTACGAAATATAATAAAATTCACACATAGTATGAAAGCCCTTGTGCTGATGCACTCACAGAACGTTATTAACAATTTTACTTGCGGGTGAAAGAAAACATCAAGTAAGAATATTAAACAAACAATGCAGTTCAGGTGAAGGACTTGAAAAAAAGGTATTATGATATTATTGAATTGTGTATTAATCTGATATCGAGAGGTCTCTATTTATAGAGACTAAAAAACCTAATTCTTGACCTAATCGACTTGGCCCAATACAACAAATACTAATAATAATAAAAGACCTAATATTTACAACACTCCCTCTCAAGCTGAGGAATAGATATTTATCATTCCCAGCTTGCTAGTAAGTTCTTGAAATCTGTCTGAAGGTAGTCCTTTTGTCAATAGATCAGCTAATTGACGCCCAGTGGGAATGTATGGAGTGGCAATCAACCCACTATCAAGTTTCTCTTTGATGAAATGGCGGTCGACCTCAATATGTTTAGTTCGATCATGTTGAATCGGATTATGAGCTATACAAATAGCGGACTTATTGTCACATAGCAGCTTCATAGGTCCCTCACATTTTATTTTGAGATCATCAAGTATAATTTTCAGCCATACTACTCACAAATGCCTTGAGTCATAGCTCGAAATTCAGCTTCTGCACTTGACCTGGCAACCACATCTTGTTTCTTACTTCTCCATGTCACTAAGTTACCGCAAAGAAACATGTAATAACCAGTGGTAGATCGACGGTCAGTCACGGATCCAGCATAATCAGCATCAGTGTAGACTTCTAATGAGAGATTGCCATCACGTCGGAATAACAATCATTTACCAGGAGTAGCTTTAAGATACTGAAGAATTCTCTCTACTACTTGCATGTATTTCTCCTTTGTGTCGTGCATAAACTGACTGACAACACTAACAGCATAAGCTAGGTCTGGTCTAGTATGAGCCAGATATATCAATTTCCCAACTAGCCATTGATATTGTCCTTTATCAACTGGAGGACTCTCCTCTTCATAGCCTATCTTATGATTCTGCTCAATAGGAGTATTAGAGGGTTTACACCCGAGCTTTCCTGCTTCTTTGAGAAGATCAAGAACATATTTTCTCTGGCTGATAAAAATTCCTTTCCTTGAATGAGCTACTTCTATCCCTAGGAAATATTTCAGTTTCCCAAGGTTTTTGACTTCAAACTCAGAGGCAAGCCGTGTTTGCAGAATCTATTTCTCCACAAAATCATCACCTGTGATAATAATATCATCAACATATACAAGGAGCATAGTAAGCTTCCCATTATGGGAATGGTTGAAGAAAAGAGTGTGATCTCCTTGACTCTGTCTGTATCCTAAGGTCATCATAACCTTAGTAAACCTTCCAAACCAGGCACGAGGTGACTGCTTCAATTCATACAAGGCCTTTTTTAATCTACAAACTTTATTTTCTCCTTTCACAGAATCAAAACCAGGCGGGATTTCCATGTAGACTTCTTCTTCTAACTCACCATTGAGGAAAGCATTTTTCACATCAAATTGATTTATATCCCAATCGTAATGGGCAGCAAGGGACAACAAGACTCTCACCGTATTCATCTTTGCAACTGGAGCAAATGTTTCTTCATAATCAATGCCATAGGTTTGAGTGTAACCTTTGGCAACTAATCGAGCTTTGTATCTCTCAAGAGTTCCATCAGAATTATATTTCAGAGCATAAACTCATCTGCACCCTACTACTTTCTTTCCATTAGGTCTATCAATAACCTCCCATGTTTTATTTTTCTCCAACGCATTCATCTCCTCTTGCATGGCTTGAGCCCAATTCCCATCTTTCAAGGCTTCATGTACTGATTTTGGGATTGCAATAGAGTCTAGTGCTGAAACAAAGCTTTTGTGCTGCATAGAAATATTAGCAGAGGATACAAAATGGGAGATAGGGTATTGAGTACAAGAGGGACAGAAGGAACAAGATTTCTTAGCACAAGATCTTTTTCCTTTTCCAAGAGCAATGTGTAAATCATCAGAATCAGTAGTAATGGGTAAGTCATCAGAAGTATTAACATCAAGATCATAAATATGAGATTCGGACTTACCAGTGGTTCAGACGATTGAGGTTGCTTCTGAGGCAATGTGGTTTGTTTCCTTCTTTGATATACAAACTCAGGTGTCATAATCTTCCGTATCTCTGGTGAACTTGATGTATCAGTCACAGGAGGATCACTCACAAGAGGATCAGACACAGAAGGAACAGGAACAATAGGGACAAGAGGAGGATACACTGACACAGGTAAAGGAGTAGACACTGAAGACTCAAAGAAGGGAGGTGATGAGCTTTCTGGTGAAGGATTCTCCCCCTGAAGATGAGGACCTTGGAAAAAGGACTCAGATTCCTGAAATGTAACATCCATAGAAACAAAAAATTTCCTACTACCAGGGTGATAGCACTTGTAGCCTTTCTTAACGGGAACATAACAAAGAAAAACACATTTAATAGCCCTAGGGTCCAACTTACTGTGAAGATGTTTATGAACATGAACAAAAGCAACACACCCAAACACTCGTGGAGGAAGACTCATAGTTGGAATAGAAGGGGAAAAAAGAAGTTATAGAGTGAATAGGACTTACATGGTCAAGTACCCGAGTGGGTAAACGGTTGATCAAGAATGCTGCAGTAAGAATAGCATCTCCCCAATAGTATTTGGGTACATGTGTCTGAAACATTAATGTACGAGCCACTTCAAGAAGGTGACAATTTTTTCTTTCAGCAACCCCATTCTGTTGAGAGGTGTCAACACAAGTAAGTTCATGAATCATACCGTTATTTTGTATAAATTGGAAAAAACTGTGATTAACATATTCAATACCATTATCTGTTCTTAGTCTCTTGATTTTTTTACCAAATTGGGTCTCAACCATTTTATAAAATTGAAAGAACAGATGTGGTACCTCAGACTTTTCACGCATTAAGTAAACTCAACTTACACGAGTGCAATCATCAATAAAAGAAACAAACCATCTATTTCCAGAAGCATGAGGGACTTTAGAAGGACCCCAAACATCAGAATGAATAAGATCAAAAGGTTCAACACTCTTAGTACTACTAGAAGGAAAAGACACACGATGATGCTTAGCAAACTCACAAACATCACAATGAAAAGACTCAACAGACTTAGACAAAAACAATGATGGAATAAAGACTTGAGTAAACTAAAAGGAGGATGTCCCAAACGCTTATGATGAAGCCAAATCAAAGAATCAGCAGTTGATTGACCATGAGTCACGAAGATGTGATCTGTTACTTTATTTGCGGGAGATTGTGACACCAGATAGTACAGCCCACCTTGCTCTTTAGCACTACCAATCGTCTTTCCCGTGGCGAGATCCTGAAAAACACAATGGGTAGGGAAGAAGGCTACAATACAATTCAAATCTTTTGTAATTTTATGAATAGAAAGAAGATTCGTGGAGAGTTTAGGAACATGAAGAGCATCTTTAAGATGTAAGGACTGATGTAAGTTTATGTCACCAGAAGCAACTGATGTATGTGAGCCATCAGCTATGGCTATTGTATGAGTTCCAATGGTAGGATGATAAGAAGTGAAGGAGTCAGCACAACAAGCCATATGATTAGTAGCACCAGAACCAACAACCCAAGAATGTTTAAAATCATTACATGAAGAAAGGAAAGAATGAGTTTTGGAGCTCATACCGATCATAGCCAAAGCACTAGTATCAGATGGCTTACTCAGATAATCAAGGATGATTCGGAGCCGTTCCAATTCATCTGGACGAAATGCAGGTTGGGTCTCATTAGGTGCAAGAGTTATTTCAGAGGAAGGAAGATGCGCTTGACCACGCATCCTTGCCATATTTTCTAAGACAGTTTGCTTTCCATGGAGGCGAAAGCATAAATCCTTGAAATGACCTGTTCTTTTATAATAAGAACACCATCGATCATATCTCTTAGGTCTAGAAGATGTGCCATCATAAAACTTTGTAAAGGAACTCCTTTGAGAAGAGGCCATACTGCACAAAAAATGGTCAAAGAAAAGCTCCAAGAAGCCAAAAAATACGGAAAAAATATCAAACGATGTCCGATCTGAGAAAACAACACAGATCCATAAAGAAGACAAGGAGACGAGAAGAACTGCACTGGTCCGCCGCCGAGAACCACCCCCACGCACCGCCACGCGCTGGTGGAGTGGTCTGCGAGTGGGCTTCACGCGCCGATGAAGGAGAGGCGCGTGTGGGCGCGTGCGGTGGTCTTTCGGGCTGAGATTTCTGGGGCGGCGTCGTCCGGCAAGCGCGGTTCTATCTAGGGCTTGTCGGAGTTGAAAAGCCGCCGGGAAAAGGTCCAAACGCGATGAAACAGATTCTGTCTTGTTTGAAAAAACGCGATGAACAATAACAGAGGTGATGAACAGTAACAACGATCTGATTTTTAACGTGACTGAAGGTGTTTGATGAGGAAAAACAGAGGTCTTCTCGGTCCAAGAGGTCCCCGGAAAATTTTTTCTGATGGCAGCGAGAGACGAAAAGAATAAAAAGTTTCGTTCTAAAGACAATAGGTGCGGAAGCAGAGCCCTCAGGATCGAGAGCTCTGATACCAACTTGAAAAAAAGGTATTCTGATATTATTGAATTGTGTATTAATTTGATACAAAGAGGTCTCTATTTATAGAGACTAAAAAACCTAATTCTTGACCTAATGGGCTTGACCCAATACAACAAATACTAATAATAATAAAAGACCTAATATTTACAACAGAAGGCAAGAATAGTGAGCCAGTTAGATGAGATAAATCAGCAGAATGTTGATACAAGTTGGAATGTCTATTGATGAGGTGTACTGAATCTGATATAGCTAAATGGTCCCAAATGTCTACATGAAGTAGTTCAAATGCTTTGGTAGACTTTGATGTGCTAATTGAGAAAGGAAGTTTTCTTTGTTCAGCGAGATGGTTGATTTCACATCTATTCTGTGAATGGATGTCATTCATTCTTCTTAGAAAATACTTATATATAATTTATGAGCATCCAGCAAAAGAACTAGAGGAAAATCCACGTTTGGCGTTTTCCATATTCAAATCTTAAATGACAATCATATTCCGTGACCCAGAGAATTCAGAATTTGAAGGAAATAACATGTTTAAGCATTTATAACTTACATATCCACATCCAAGATTCAATAACTCAATAACAAGTCATGTACTTTTAGAATAAATTCTTAATTAAACATAGTTTTCCTCGTCATCTCTTCGACACACAAACTATTGTTTGACATATATGAAAACATTGTTAATGATAAATACATTTTTATTTTACTTCTTTAAAAGAAACATCAATATCAACATCAATATTAACATCAACATCACCTTTATCACAAATTGAAATAAACATGTCAAATAATAATTTCTGTATCCATGATAGACCATATTTAACTAAGGCAAAAGTATTTTTGCCTTTGCAGCAAAAGAATTTTATCTACCACCGACACAATTTTATCAGGATCTGCCATTCTTGTGAATATATATATATATATATATATATATATATATATATATATATATATATATGTGCCAAATAAATTTTTCTGCCGCAAAAGCTAAAAAATCGAACCCTCTAACTAAAAATTACTTGTAATTTTAGAGTGCTGTTTGACCTTGGAGCGACAAAATCACAAGTGCTTCTAAAAGGTATTGCAGCTATTTGATGCATCAAATTGCTTTGTGCGCGGACAAATAGTGTGAAAGACATTTGCTCCATCCAGAGGCGGCAGAGGTGACAATTTGAATTGGTCCCCGACTCGTCATTAACTCGTCAAAAACGGAACGGGTCGAGTTGGTCCGTCATTAAATATGGGCTGAAAAAATAAATCCATCTCATTTTATGATAGGTTGGCTGGTCAACCCACCAACCCGCCAATTAAAAAAAATTAATTAAAATTCAACAATAAATTATATTTTATGAATTTTTTAATATTATTTTATTTTATTTCGTACTTCTTTTAATTTTTTCAGTCTCAATCTTAAATGTATACTAATATTTGTCAAATATTCTTTAAGAACTCATTTGTCTCCATATATAGATAACATTTGGTATAAGTAAAATTATTATTCTTTATTTTTTCTAGGAAGTACTAAGATAAAAAAAAAGTTGGATATCACAAAAAATTAATAACAAATAGAGTAAACACCTTTTTTAGTCCCTGGCAATATCTACGAAGTCCTTTTCAGTCCCTGGCAATAAAAAAGGACCAAATTGGTCCCTGAAAGTACAAGAAAATGGTCACTCTACATATTTGGGAGTTGACATAAGGACTAACATGGCCCTTTTTTTGTAATTTCAGGAACCAATTTGGTCCTTTTTTATTGCCAGGGACTAAAAAGGACTTCGTAGATATTGACAGGGACTAAAAAGGGTGTTTACTCTAACAAATAAAATACTACCTAATTGTATATATATATATATATATATATATATATATATATATATATATATATATATATTATAACCCGACGGGTCAACTCGCCCAGTGGCAGGTTGAACCTGTTTTGACTCACTTCTAAGTGAGGCGGGTTGAAGTGGGTTGGTAGATTGAAAACCTTAACCCAACCCGTCCCGCTTTGACAGATTGATCCGCCGGGCTCAACCCATATTGCCACCTCTAACTTCATCGAATGACATAGCCACAAGTCATTTACAATAGTAGCTGAATCAATTTTTACCCGAGCCTTAAAAAGCATAGTTTTTCCCAAGGAAGCACGGACACTTGTAAAAACAGGAAGAGTCGGGTCTGACACGCTCCGACCCGGTGTCGGACACACGGTTGACTTTTTCCGACACGTTGACCATTCCGACACGCAAATTTGACCGTGTCCGACACAGTCAAATGGCATTTTCGTATTTTTTTTTTAATTTTTTTTTAAATTTTTTTTTTTTTAAAGTTAAAATATATTAATAAAGCTTCCACCTGATCATATAAATTTTGTCTTTTGTCTTTTTTTCCTTTAAGTAGATAAGAGAATATCTCAACATCATTGTTGTCAATTCCTATCACGCTCTTGTTGTATCTTCTTCTCTCTGATCTCTCGCTAATATGATTTGATCTCTCTATCTGATATTATATCTCTCTCTCATCTTAGTTCTTATTTTTTTTATTAAAGCTTCCATCTTTATAACGTGTTGATGGATATTATTAATTTAGTTTCATTTTTTTGTTAAATTATTAAATATTAAATGAAATATACTCTATATAAATTAAAAATATTATTTAATATTAAAACGTGTCCCAACATGTCGAAATTCATAATTTTTTAAGATTGACGTGTCAGAGTGTCGTGTCGTGTCACGTGTCGTATCGGTGCTACATAGGCCTTTCCCCTACAAGATTAAACTCTTCCAGATATCTTCAAGACGTTAGTGGAAATAATCATGAGGTGAGATGATAAATACCATTGGATTTTATAAGATAACCCCAAGTCCTCAAAAGTTGAGATAACATAGAGAACGGATATTTTACATTAATTAGAGCACTTATAAGCTAAGCAGGAAAAAACTTAATTAAAAGTATCACTACACTTGGCTGGAAGCATAATCTTATGACCAGTTAGTAGTTCAATTAACAGAAGTCTCATCACTGTAAATTGGAGTGCTACTAGGTGTGAGACAAGCTGTAGGGGATACAAGACCACCCAATGGCATGCATGAAGAAGGAGATGGGGGAAATTTTGGAGAAAGGTTAAGCATCTCCAAGGCCTGTAGTCTAAGCTCTACAGGGTAGTCAGCAACACACCCAATTCTAGGTCCAGCTCCAGTTGACCATTTACGTGAAAGTTTATCCCCCAATTGGTAGGATCTTGTAGCCCTCTTGGAATTGATTCTTTGCAATATTGCAGTCTTGGGCACCTCAGCTCTTGGGCTCTGAAGACCACCTGATAGAGTCCTTTTATAACTACCAACAGATATAGGTTGAGGATGATCTTTTTTATCTGAGGATGGGGTATTCTCAGCTTCCTCAGAATTTGCAGGCTCAGCCATATTAGCAGTGCTAGAAACTTCAGATGTTGCGTCTATTTCACTAGGCTTGCCTTCCTCATAATTATCAATGTCATAATTTGCCTTGAGTATCTGAAACAAGGAATCAGAGGTCATTCGATAAAAAATGTAAGTGACTACTACCATCTTTTTCAATTAATTATTAAATATTCTGACCATAAATGATCAATGTCTTCTTGAAGAAACATCTACTGGCCTAAGTTTTTTCTAAAAACAAGATTTTGACAAAGAACTATAATAATAGGAATTAAGTTATATAGGAATGCTAATCAATCACCTCAACTTCATCAAGCTTGACACCATTTTCCGTGAGATATGATATGAAACTGTTGACAGTGTCATCTGTTGGCCGGTAGTGCCCACTATATGATGAGATGGACTGAAAATTCAAAGCCATTGAGAATCAGACATTTGTCAATGCACATAAATTGGAATTAGCAAATACGTCTATGAGTCTATCAATGTGATACAATGCGCAGTGTCACTTATGCACCAAAAACAAAAGAAAAAAGGTGACAGCAGCCCACTATCTCTTTGAAACTGTTAATGCTGGTAGGAGCATCTTAGATTCTTAGAAGAGGTTCCAATAGCACATCAATTCAATGATGCAACCTATAAAGTTAATCATACCTTCAGAATTCCATGCTCGGCCTCAAGCCTTCCAGCAGCTACCGTAGCTGCACCAGCCAAAAAAGAAGAATGATGGAACAATCCCTTCTTTTTCTGGGAGGTTATTACAATGTATCAATAGGGCTGGAAAGAAATGGCAGAGTGCCTGTATATAAATGAGAAAATTGAAAACTAGAAACAACAACTAAACTTGAATTGTTACCTTGCCAGCATAAAGTTTCTTAGAGGTGCTCATAACAAATATCCACTTGGCATCATCAGAGTCTTTTTTGGTATGAAGGAAATCTCCAGATTGCTTGTGGATGATTATTCCCTCGCAGACAATGTATTCATAGTTCTCTCTCTCTTGCTAATTTAGGAAATTATTATGAATGACAAACTAGTCAGAAAAGCAAGAACAGACCACAACTTTTGAAATAATGCAGTACAAGTCAATATAGTCAAAGTCAACCACAATTAATTAAAAAAAAGTAATAAATCCACTAATCAGCATATGCACATACAGGTCCAAGGTACTTTATGCATTGTTTACGAAGCTTTGAACGGGGGCAACTTTCAAGATCAAGATTTTTCCCATTTCCTAAATCCAACCTGTAGAACAAAAAAAGAAAAAAAAAAAAATCAGTAAGAAAACTCCAACAGTTTCCTCTGTTCATTCCCCTTCCCACTTTGCATCTTACTCTAAACTTTGACCCCATTTATGAGAAGCTGCTCCTTTTTTAAAACAAGAAATAGGAAACAAAATTAAAAGTCTCCATTCCATGTCACTAATCTTTTAATTTTTATTTTTTATTTTCAAAAGAAGTTTGTCAAATTCAGGTGAACAATTATAGTTGAGAGACGATAAGCACCAAACCCAAAAACAGGTCGAATGCAAAAGCATATTCATTTCAGCATTAACTACAATTTGGAAGACACTGAACCACTACTGGGAATTAGATGCTGAAACTGTACAAGTGTTCAGTAACAGACATATTTCCCCTGCTTCCACTTTCCACAATGGAATCATCCAATATCAACAGCAAATTACCAATAATCAGAAATTATCTTATTTTAAACACAAAGGCAAACTTAAAATCACACCCAAACCCACTTCAATTTCAGCCCAAGGGATGAAATAAAAGGGGCTGTCTTCCAACTTCAAATAAATTAGTCTCACCAATAAAAGAATGGCTGACCAGCATCCGTTTTGCGCCACTCTTCATGGTAATAATCCAAGTTATGCCCATAACGGTGGCGTGGATCAATCTACATTTAACACCAATTAAAATTGAGAAATATATAAGTATGAATTGGTCAAACATACCAAACAATAAATAAAATAAAATAAAATAAAGTGGTGAATCATAAAATGCATACTCACAGCTTCAATCCAATGCTCAAAAGCCAATGTTTGTGCTTTGGCATCTATGGACAACCCCTTACCCACCTGCCAAACACAGTTCCCTTCACAATCAAACTCAATAATCATCCTTTTTCCTAATCACAATCATAATCAGGTAGACCCAAAAAAAATCAACTTCGCACTAATATTTTTCACCCAATACGTATAAAGACCCGTATAGTATCCGTATCCGTATAATATTTAGTAGTATATCCGTACATAAAAAAAAATTATATATATATACAGAGAGAGAGAGAGAGAGACCTTGGAAGCGTTGAGTTTGACCCTACTCCACCGTGAAGCTGCACTCTCTGGCAAATTGAAGAACGATATCGTGCTGTGGTTTAGCCTCACATAATCTATCGCTTGCCACCTTCACAATTTTCAACCACACTTTTTCTCAAAATTAACTCATAATAATAATTAACACCACAAAAAATAAAAAAGGAAGAAAAAAAAAATTGGCGCGTGTGTGCGCGTTATATTTGTATAGAGGGAGAGTGTGTGTGGGAGAGAGAGTGTGCATGCAGTTGCAGAGAACAAATACGAACCACAGCTCAGCGACGAAGGCGGAATCAGCCAACCTCCGCCGGGTGCGATAACTCCGGTACACCTTCTGCACCTTAAGGGCAGCGTTGGTCTGAGGGCACGCGCGTACCGGCGAGTCGGGCTCCGGCGATTGCTGGGTATGGAAGGGATTGGACAGTGACGGGTCATCGGGTGTGAGTGGGGAGTTCGGGTCCGGGTATTCGGAGCTCCGGAAATCGGCGGTGTGAATGGCGTTGATATATGAAAATGAAGGGTTGGGGTTAAGGTCAAAGGCCTCAGAGAGAGTGTGGGTGTGAGTCTGAACCTCCATTAAAGGCAAACCCTTTCTTTCTGAATTGAATTTTGAAGATATGCTCAGAATCACAGAGAGAGAGAGAGAGAGAGAGAGAGGGTGAGTTGTTTTAGTTATTCAACGCTGAGTTGGTTTCCGTTGAAGTGGGTTGGTTTCAATGTTAGTGGTGGGAATGTGAAGAGAGAAGCACACATTACGTTGCAGTTCGCTGGCTATTTATATTTGGTTTTTGAGCAAATCAACCTCTCTCTCCATTTTATTATTATTATTATTATTATTTTCTTTTCTTTTTCTTTTTCTATCTTTCTTCTTCTCCTACGCGCTCCGCTTGCGATTTTTCCTTCCCCTCTCTTAAGCCTCGTGCATTTTATTTTGGATACAAATAATTAAAAAAATAAATAAAAAATCCTCCCAGTATTAAATAACTTAATTTTAAACTTATCTAATTAATTTATGTTTATTAGTTTAAGGAAAAATACGTGGAAGTTGACTTTAATGAAAAAAATAATACAAAGCTTCAACTTAATTTTAATGATAAATAAATTGGCTTTGTTACTAACTTTGTTCATCAATTTGTAATCATTAAATTAAATATTTAATATATTTTTCATTAATTTATGTGAATTTTTTTTTTTTTGATACATAGTTTATGTGAAATTATTAAAACAGAATTATAGTTTTCTCTTTTTTCATTAAATTTAGCAATAATTATTTTTTTAATTAAATTCAATAATTTCAAGATACTAAAATACCGTTTAAGAATAAGTTTTTTTTACAAAGACAGTTTTTTTTTTTTCATCCAAAACAAAACGCGAATGTTACTAGTATGAGATTAACTATAAAAAATAAAATAAACATAGATTTTAGTGCTTTAAAGATAAAATTAACATAATCCTCGCACAGCTGGTAAGTATGTTGTGCCCAAAGAAAGAACTGCTAAGCCTAAGAGATGATTCGAATATTAGGCCAGGTAATTTCAGATTTGGGGTTAGTGGTAAAAACCATCACACTCTTCACGTATGAGTTTAATGTTTCTCCGAAGATATCTTCTATTTGCCGAAGAAATATATATACCATTATTAAAGTTTAGTAAGATAATCTTTATGATTAAAATTTTATGTGTTAGGATATCATGCCTTTTTTTTTTATCTCTACTTTATTTATTTACTTTTAATACTATTATATCAGAATCTTAATTAATATTCATCTTTTCTCTCTCTTGTTGAGATTTTGAAATAATGCTATTAAAAAGAAATAGGTATGAAAAAAGATAAGTATAATATTATATCCTAAAATTTATTTATTAAATTGGTCGACCAATAAACTATAAAATATAATTTTATTAACTCAATGACATTTTAATTTTTTAAGAATAATGAGAGTTAATAACAACTTTGTACCCGAGTTTGTATTTTTAATTTATAAATCTTACTACATGTAATTAATAATGGGGAAAATACCTGTGAGGGCCAAACCACCAACTAACCCCCTTTGAATATGGCCCTGGAAAGGAAAGATCAGCACCAGATATAAACACTGCAAGTTAGATTTGGATTTTCTTACGTGAAAAAAAATTAATTATATGGTCATGTTATTTGATCATAATTATTTATTTAAAAATTATATGTTTTTTCTCTCTTATCTTATTATTAATGAATAATTGTAATCAAATAATATGATCATATGATCACTTTTTTACACGAGAGTATCCAAATCTTGCAAGCTAGCCAAACAATCTCTCACACGGTTTGACTCTTGGTAAACTTGAATAAGTTTTACCTTTAATCTTTTACATCGTAGAATGAATGCTGTTCATCATTAATTAGTTGTGTTGAGAAAGATGCTTTCTATTAATGCACACCATATAAACAGATGTTATTTTAATACCGTAATTCCGATATAGTATAGGTAGTTTAAAGTCTTACAAAATGTTTGTTAGAAGACTGAGGATATTTTAACTATTAAAAATTTTTATTACTACTTTACTACCCATCACATCATTATTGAATCAAAGAGATAGAATGTTAAAAAGTTTTTGAAGAGAAAGAAAATAATAATCTAATGATGATTAGATAAGTAATGAGTTGATAGTGAAAAATTTTGATAGTGAGAATATTCCTCCTCTTGTTAGAAAATGATACTTTAACATAAATTGATTCTCACTGACACTTGGCGGACCCAGATTCGGTCACATGTCCGCAACTGCGGACATAAAACTAGTGATTTTAGATTTTTTTTTGTAGATTTTTATTTGTCTCTTGATTCAATATTTATATTAGGAATAAATACATTTTTAAATCCTTACCAAAAAATACGGTCCTCACTTTAGTCTTTTATAAAAAAAATTAGTCTTGAGGTTTCTAAAAAATTCAAAATGGATCAATTTAGTTAAAATAGTGATCCTCACAAATTATAAAAAGATCCACATCAGTCGCTCAAAGGATTAAAATGTGTCGACTTTGAATTTCATAGAGACCAGGCCACTAAAAATTTTCTTTTAAGGGATTAAAGTGTGGACCGAATTTTTTGTTAGGGACCAAAAAGATTATTTACTCTTATATTAGTTAGCAACGTACAGAGATGATTAAAACAACGTAACAACGCAAATTGATTAAAGAGAAAACTTATTCTTCCTCTCATATCACGTACTCATTCTCATGCTCTCTTCATCCTTTGTTTCTTTTTTTCATTTTTCTAAAAAGAGAGGATTGATTGCAGGTCTGACATTATTAAATAAGTTAATCTCTAGAGACGAGACTTTCACTGTGATTTCGCTTACCTTCTGTACTGGTAGTGTTGACTTTTTTATTCACAACTATAAAATAGAATGATGATGTATGGATGTACTGGAATATATTATAATATTTGTTTTGGAGGATTGGTGAGATTTAAAGGGAGAATGATTGATCAAATTATTGTCTGCGGCTTGTTATAAAAGTAACTAAATTGAAGGAGTTCATAATCTTGTACATAGATCGTTAATGTAAACGGCTCACTGCTCACAGATGTACCTTCATGCTATATATATTACAAACACATCTTATCCATTCAAAGAAAGTATCCTGTAACCAGTGTCAGAGCTTGAAATAATTTTTTCGGGAAGCCATACTATATTATATTTCTCTTTGTAATGATGAAACAGTTCATAAAAAATATCAAATCGTAAAACCAAATAACAACATAAATAATGAAATTATAAAAAAAAATGTTAGATTAATGAATAGGTTGAGATCCTTGCTAACGAAGGTTTGTTTTTTATTTATGAATGATGTTTTAATATTTGGTCGATAAAACATACTAAGAAGATGCATTTTCAGGAAAATAGAAGGAATGGATTAAAATTTTGAAAGATTGGAAATGATTGAGAGAGAAAGACAAAATACACCCCAAGAGAGAAAATGACAAAATGACAAGTTGAACCATAAAAAGGAAAATTCTAGAGAAATGCATCAATAATTAATATGTTTCATATATGCTCGTAAGTACTTTTAACCATGTGGTTTGTTTGGTTGCTACGAATCTTTCCATTTCACCATGTTGTCATTTCAGCACTACATTGCTGTATTACAAGAAAAGAAAAAAAAGAACTTATAACTCCCAGAAATATGGTGCAAATAATGAGAAGTTTAAAACTTATATGCAAAAAATTGATTTCCAAGTATAATTTAGGGAGCCAATAATATATATATTTTATATATTTCTGATAAACTATAGAAGTATGGGTGTATTGTTATTTATATATATTTATTACCAATTAATCATATTTTGTAAATGCTCAAAACTAGCTAAAAAATATTTTATAAATATATTTCGTTACAAATGATTTCCGTTTATAATAGATCTTATACATTATAATTTTAAAAATCCAAAATAAATAGATATTTTAATACATAAATAACTTAGATCATCATCTTGAATTTATAATGACATGATTATTTAAATAAAACTTATAAGTAAACTATTTAAAATAAAATTTTAAACTAAAAATCTATTTTTAGCTGTTTATAAAATTTAAAATAAGCTGAATATTCACTCAATTTTATTTAGTGACGTATTAAGTTATTGTAAAAATTAATGACAATAATAATATTGAACAATTTTAAAAATATCAATGGTAAAACAAAATCATAAATAGGATAATTCCTCTATTTATTAAATGATGATTGGCCACTACCTTCTTCAAGAGTCCTACTCTTTTTGACACAGAATTTTCGCAGTCTTGAGTCAAGATATTAAGTTAATAAACAACTTATATGTTATTATTTCATATTAATTAAATATTTATATTACAAATTTTAATATTTAACTTATGCTAGACAGGAGATGCAATGCGAACCTCTTGTAAGAGCAATAACAATCCAGGAAGAGAGAGAGAGAGAACGTAGAAGAAGACAAACAGAAGAGGGAGCAAACAGGAATAGCAAATGCAATTGCATCACCAACACAGACACAAGTGGCCAACAAAACAACAAACGCTTTTTAGTCCCATTTTCCGCCCCCATACTTGAATTCAACATTATTTTCCACTTTACTTAAATTTGTATTATACGGGGTTTGCTAACTACTGCTTTATTATACTAGAAATAAGTCAAAAATATTAAATAATTTTTGTAATATGTCAGATAACACTATAATATTTATCTAACACTACACTTTACCACATAACTAAATACTTCATAGTTTGTCTAGTTTCCAATAAAAATATTTATGGAAATAATTGAAAATGTAGAACTACCGCATCTTAAATAATTGTATTCTAAGTGTCTCTTTGTATCTTATTATTTTTAGCTTATTTTCTCTTTATAAGCAAAAGTTACGTCAAACAAGTTTTGAAAAAATATTTTATAACAAATTTTTTTTTTTATAATGAAGAAAAAAGTTAAAAATCAAAAAACTCCTATAAGGAGCTTTTTTTTAAACTTTTATCAATTTTTCTTAAATTGAGTGCTTTTTTCTAAACGAAGAGCCATAGAAATGTACAGGGAGACTTTTATTGAAATGTGTACTTTTAAATAACTTCTAAGTTAAAAAATTTATGTAATCACTAAACAGCTTTTTAGCTCTCTTTTTTAAGTGTTTTTTATTTAACTTTAGCTTAAAATTAGTTTCTAACTAAAAAAAAATGATTCAAATAGGCTTTAATGCTATTGATTGTGTGTTTGTATCGATAATGA